ACTGTGTTTTATTTCAATGTTTATTTCCAAGAGCAATAGCAGGGGAAAAAAAAATCCCTAAAAAAAAGTTAAAATTTACCACAAGTTAGTATGGAAAACCCCAGGTATCAAGCTCAATTCCCTAAGACAGCAGGGGTTGTATTTTACAATGCAATGCAAATGGATTACTGTGTATGTGTGTGTGTGTGTGTGTGTGTCTCTGTGTGCGCGATAACATTCTGGGTTTCCAAAGAGTGTTAAAATCAGACTATAGTAACAATCTTTTAGTAATGTTAAGGCAGGAGTCACAGGTAGAAAGCATCGGTCCTCAGTCCAAACGGAATGGAGCAAAACCACTGTGCTAATCATGGTCTTCTTCCCTGACAGCCGGCAGATTCCTGCAGGCGAGAAGGTAAGTGAACCATTAACACACTCGCCAGCTCTTCTCTGGGGTGCTCTCTGCCCCCTACAGATGGAAGCCATTCTACCATCACTGGAAGGTCAATAGCATTGGACACCTCGCTGGTCATCAGAGGCTCTTCCTCGAGCTGGGCTGGTGTCATCTGTGGGAATGATTTCTCTCTCCCGCTTAAGTTCCATAGGACAGGATTCACCTCATCACCTTCCTGTCCCGCCCCGCCTCTGCTCTTTCCTGCAGCATGCAGCTGGTAGCAGGTATGCACTAGATACTGACTGACTGACGGCCAAGATGCTGGCTGGGTTATGCCTTCTCTCTGCAGTGTACTGGCGACAGGCAATAAAGCACAGTGGTTTAGATGATGGCCCTGGTGGCCAGGTTCATTCTGAGACACATAGGGTAACTACACTCACCACTCCATAAGGTTTTCCCCACCCCTCTTCTTTCTTCTTTGGAACTTATATAGCCCTCTATTACTGATTTTTCAGAAGTAGATCACTAGACCCTTCTTCTGAGGTGCCTCTGGGGAGACCCAAACCCTTGAGTAGTAGCAAAGGGTGTTGACTGTTTGCACCATATGAACAGAGGATATAGTTGCTGATGGTAGATGGATCTTGGCTGAAAGCAGAGACTACCTGAAAGATATTGTGTTTTATGTACAATGCAAAGGCATTCAGCTATGTGGCTCATAAAAGATATTGCAAAGAATGAGAATTCCATAGCATTTAATTGTCTCATGCAGATTCTGTACAGAAAGCCAGAGATGGTAGTCTGAACAGAACAATGGAATACTGTCTGATTTTAAAAATCGGGTTATGTGTATATCGCGGTTGGATCTTTTCACTGTACCAGTTCAATCAGTATGAAGAGCAAACAATTTGAGAAGCAGGCCTATATAAATACGAACATAACATCAAGGTTGGATGAAAGCTCATCAATAACTTGTGATATGCATATGACACAATCTTGCTTGCTGAAATTGAACAGAACTTGAAGCACTTAGTGAGGAAGATCAAAGACTACAGCCTTTGGTATGGATTCCAATCAGTATAAAGAAACAAAAATCCTCACAGCTGAAACAATTAGCAACATCATGATAAACAGAGAAACAAATTGTCAAGGATTTCATTTTACTTGGATTCACAATTCATGCTCATGGAAACATGAAGCAATGCATTACGCACATCAAATCCATTGCAGAAGACCTCTATCATTTTGAAGAGTATAGATGTCACTTTGGGAACCACGGTGTGCCTGGCCCAAGTCATGGAATTTTCAATTGCCTCGTGTGCATGGGAAAACTGGACAATGAATAAGGACAGCTGGAGAAAACTGGACTCATTTGAATAGTCTTGTTGGCAAGGAATAGTGACATGACCCTGGGCTACTAGAAGCACAAACACATCTGTCTTGGAAGAAGTACAACCAACATGTCTCTTAGAAGCGAGAACAGTGAAACTTTGTCTCACACATTTTGGACAGGTCATCAAGCGGGACCAGTCTCTGGAAAAGGACATCATACTTGGCCAAGGAGAAGGTCAGCCAAAGAGATGACGACCCTCAATGAGCCGGACACAGTGGCTGCAACAATGGGCCCCAACACAGTCAGGGCAGCGAGCATGGCTCAGGACTGGGCAGGGTTTTGTTCTGTCGCACAGATTCACCATCAGAGGCACATGACTTGATCCCTAACAACAACAATGCCCTCATAGAGCGGTTGTGAGGAATAAGTGTGTTGATCCCCGCATTAAAGGTTTATTCTGCTGCCTTAAGGAAAGTGTCCCAAACGTTAGCCATTCCTGTTATTAACATTTTAGATTGGCCACGAAGGATGGTTATTATATGTTTCCAGCTAGGCAATTGCAGAAACAAATCTCATAGTGCTGCTAGATTTCAATCCAGATAAAAATGAGTCTAGAAGAAATTTTTATTTAGCTCTACCCTGTTGTTGTTGTTACTAGGGGTTATTGTGTCGGCTCCGACTCATAGCAACCCCGTGCACAGCAGAAGGAAACTGCTCGGTCCTGCACCATCCACACAGTTGTTCCTATGCCTGAGCCCATTGAGGCAGCCACTGTGCCCATGCAAGATATCGTAGAAGACAATACTTATCAAGTAGATCTAGTTCCCACATGGTTTCAGGTAAATCAACATGATTGAAATCCACATGGTAAACTCGTAGGGAACTTTTTGGGCCCCCACTTATGCTCTCCTTAGGAATTACTACATATGATGTCATGAAACATAACCAATGGCCCTTTAAGAAATTCAGAACCAACCAACTTGATCATAGACATTAGGTAAGGGGCCTGGAAACTGAAAGCTAGAGAAGCCATTTAAGTGGAATTTCCATCATGGGAGACTTAGTAAGTTACCCAAGGCACTAGCCATGAAGGCGCTAGCCTCAATGGGAAGGTCCATGCCTTCTTCATTACCTGCCATCAAGGCTCCCAGGACATGGGGGGAGTGGGCTACCTCTTGAGGGCTTGAGCTCCTTCTACGGTGAGCCTGAGAGTGTTGAACCTGCCACCTGAAGACAGTAATGGCCACTCTGGAAGGAGCACTGGGGTGGTCAGCTTTGACACCCTGCCCCCAACCAACAGTCTGGGGCTCTCTGAATATCACAGCCCAAGCCCTTTTTCTCTTCTGGTTCAAATTCCCACATTAAGTCATGCAATTTTCTTTACCCTAAAACGCCCCCCTGCAGGGCCTCTTGTCCTGATAAGATTGTGCTGTTGCAGTCTTATAAGTCCTATCAAAGAGGCCTGGCAGAGATGGTGCTGGAAGGCAGGTCAGCAGACTCCATCCCTGGGTGCAGCTCTGACAAGTGACTTTATGGTTTGACCCCCATTGTCACAGCTTGGCCTCCTGCTTGCTTTGATTCCACAGGCCCCTCAGAGTGACAGCGGGCAGTTCACAGAGACTGGGGAGAAAGCTTATCTTGTCTCCCAGTCAACTGACTGCTCTGACTCAGGAGGAAGGAAGGACCACGATATGGATCCAGATGTGTTTTGAGAAGTCACACGTGGATGTTGTAGCAGGGACCCGTGAGATGAGGAAGATATTTGTCTTTATCAGTCCGCTGGCCCCCTGGTCTCATGGTGGTCCCAGTGCTCAGAGTAGTCAGACCTGAAGACTTAGCAACTTGCTCAGGGGTCAGGATGGCCAGACTGGCTCTTGACCAAGCCTCACATCCTCTTTCGTAACTGATGTCTTGCCCTGGTCTGGGTCTGCTCAGGAATGGTGCTATGGGCCCTGCTTTTAGAGAGACCGTCTTCTTGTCTGAGTTCTTAATTCTTGAAATCCTTCCTTGGTGCGCATTCTGGAGAACTGGGTGCTTATCCATTCTCCAGGGACCGGTTCCTGCTTTGAACTTGTAATTCTGATGCACAGAGCCCGATCTAGGGTGTCTGACGCTATAAGTCAGGAGCAGATAGCAGATAGCTCTATCTCTTGCCCCTGACGTGGTGTGTGGGTTTGAAAAGCTGACTTTGTGGTTAGCCGTCCAACGCTGACCTGGCAGCGCCACCAGGGCTCCTTTGGAACCTGCTACAGTGACTAAGAGTTGGGCTGCCAGCTGCAAAGTCAGTGTTAAACCCCCAGTCACTCCTTGGGAAAGAGAGGAGAGGACCTGATCCTGGAAAGATGTACAGTCAACCCTTGGGAAGGGATTTGCTTTGTCCTGTGCGGTCACTATGAGGTGGAATCAATGTGGTGGCAATGGGTGTGCCAGGAGTTATCTGCTGCTCCCTAGGTCATTTGCTGGCCACCCATTCTCCCAAGATTGCTCACTCACCACATTGCTTCCTAGTAAATCTTGAAGTGGATTGCTTAGATCTCAACAGATGGCTTATGATATTTCTTCTCCCTCGACTCTAATCCAAGGTCAATGCTGCACATTAACCCACTACTGCCCCTGGTAGCCACCCGGATGCTTGCTGACTATCTCTGTGGCCCTCTCTTGTGTGACCATTGCTGGATCGCCTCCTTCCGCCTCTTCCTTCCCCTTCGGCCATGTTCTCGTAGCTGAAGGTCCTGTTCCGCTGCGGCAGTGGATGGCATATCTGATGCCTCCAGGACCGCCAGCTCTGTAGCAAACCAGGCCTCAGACTTTTCATCGTGGATTCTGTTGTATGATGGTCAAGGTCTGCCAATTGCAGCGTTTGCTCCAGATGCTATGTGCTCTCTGCAAAGTGCAGATTCCATTTCCCCGCTCAAAGACATGCTTCTTTTCCCGACAGCCCTGTCTAAAGTTCCAGCCTCCCTGCCGGGCCCCCTCCTGCCTGCTTGCCTGCCTGTCTCAGCTGTTGCTCTGCTCGCCCCGCATTATCCCACTGATTTTACTACCGTGGATCTTTCCCGATAGAACTTAAGCCTCGCGAGGACAAGTTATCTATTTATTTTGAACTTTATTATCCCTCTGTGCAGATCAGTCTCCAGAAACCCCCCACCCTACTTGTTAGGCCAATGAAGGAGTGACCAGTGAAGGTAGCTGCTCCTTCCTGGCCAGCCCACTGGCCAACACAGACTTCTGCCAGCCCGCCCACTGTGACCGTGGGGGCCTGCTCAGGGGCCTGCTGGCTCTGCCCACCGCAGCACCCACCTTCAGCTTGTGCTCGTGCTCCTTGTTGACGCGGGCGAGCAGCTGGGCCTTCCTTCTGTTGAGGGCGTCGATGAGGGCGTCGCACTGGGCCACCAGGCAGGCTTCAAACTCCACGTTGTTCTCCTGCGCGAGAGGGAACAGCTCAGCTGCAAGGGTCTGCGTGCCTCAGGGTACCCGCGAGAGGAATGCAGGGCACTCTGCCCAGAAGGCACAAGGAGCATTACTTTTGACAGTAACTGTGAACCATTCCATTCTACAGCGGCACTATTGCACTTCACATTGCACTCCAAGGGATGCCTAGTTGGCTTCATGTGTTTAGTTTTGCCTTCCCAGTTCAAAGGATGTCAAGCAAAAGATAGCCTCCGTTGGTAGAGCTGAACCTAGCTCCCTCTGAGGGCTGGCGTCTGCTCAGCTCGGTATGGTGCAAAGCAGCCTTGACGAAGGCAGGTAGGAGGGGGCCTGGGTTGTAGTATTAAATAAAATAATAAATAATAACGCTGTCGGAGGGTGAGGTGACCAGCCCCCACCCGCTGCTTGAACTCACTGGTTCAGTAATACTACTTCTGGGTTCAGTAATGCACAATTGTACGGTTGAGATATATAAGTATTATATTAAAGTCATCGAGAGCATGAGAGTTATTACAATAATACAGTCAGACACATTACATGATACATAGCAACATTGCTCACCTCAGCCCAGCTTGGTGGTCCACGTGGAGAGGGGAAGGGAAGGAGGGAAAGGGAACAAGGGAGAGGGGAGTGACCAGGGAGTGAGCAGCAAGGAGCTCAGGGTCAGAGAGAGAAGTCCCGCTGACTCCCACCTATATACCTTTTGGGGGCATGCCAGCCCACTAGTTACAGGTAGAGACATACGTCACAGGAAGGGGCTGCACTATAGGTTACATAGCAATGAGAGGGTGGTCTAGGGGGTGGTCTCTGGGTCTCCATAGGAACATTATCAGTAGGGTGCAAACTCCACCTACAGGAGCCTGTCCATTGTCCCCAGAGGCAGGGAGCAGGCCCACCCCTGTGGAGGGATGAGACAGCAGTCTGGCAACTGATTCCCTCAGGGGAGGGAATGCCTGCGCATCTGACCTCCCCTCACACTGGGTGAGGCCTGAAAGACAGTACAGTAAACGCAGGGGAAGAAAGGGACGGATGGCACTGCTCTTCCATCTTAAACAGTAACCCAGTGACAAAAGAAGCTTTTAAGAACAACACAGGCGAACGTCCTTGTTCATATCATTGCAGAAAGCACCGTGAATACAGGGAGGTCGTTAAGAAGCATGGGTGTGCATTACAAGCAAGAAGAATCAATACTTTTGAACTGTGGTACTGGTGAAGAATATTGAAAGTACCGCAGACTGCTCCAAGGACAAACACATCTGTCTTGGAAGAAATACGGCCAGAGTGCTCCTCAGAGGCCAGGATGGGGAGACTTGGTCGTATGGATTTTGGCCAGGCTGTCAGGAGGGAACAGTCCCTGGAGAAGGACACCAGGCTTGGTGCGGTAGAGGGGCGGCTCAACAGGAATATCCTCCATGGGACAGGTTGACACATTCGGTGCGACAATGGGCACAGGGACCGTGGTGAGGAGGGCCATGGTGTTTTGGGTTGGTAAGGATTGAAACCAACTGGGTGGCATCTAACAACAACAGCAGCAGCAACAGGCATCCCACCACTGCAAAAATCAGACACGACCCACAGCTCGTGGGAGGAAGGCAAGCACGTGCTCTGTGAATGCTGAGGCTTCCTGGGATGCTTAAGTGCTCTCTCTCCAATTTCTACTTGACTTAAATCTGTAAATACCACAGTCACTTCTTTGAAGTAGCTCCCTGTGTTGTAAGCATTAAAGGTAACCCTTAAAAAGCTACATATATAATTTTGATTCATAAGCCCTAATCTGATTAAAAATTAATTTGTAGTAAACGAAAGCTGCTCTTACAGTCTTAGTGATGAGATGTGTTGCGTTATATTTAGTGTCTTACCAGCGACCTATTTGGACTGGGCTCTGCTTTATGGGCAGCAAGATTGCACTGTCTGCCTGCTGTATTATAAACTAGTCTGTGGGTGAGTGCACTGATAAGCCACTCTTAATCAGACACTGCCAACAATTTGCAGTCATTCTTAACATAACCCAATCCCAAATCCCAATGATAAGTGCATGCAGAGAGTTTAGGATTTATACCACACATTTTGGATGGGGGAGGGAGAGACATCATTCACTCCATAACACTCACCTGGGCACTAACAGCACTTAAAAAACAGCATCCGACTGAGCAAAAGGTGAGCTTTGTTTTTGGAGCTGGCAAGAAAGAGGGTAGGAATAACTTGGCCTATCAATTGTTCTTTTATTCTAAAAGCCCTCAAGAATGGTGTCTCATGATTTGAGGATCTACTGGTAGGTATTCTCAAATGCAAATTCTTCTTGGTGTGGGATGTGCATAAGCAATCGCTTCCACAACTGCTGTTTTGATTTTCACAGCAATTACTTTAGAGCTCTCAGAGAAATCCCATTGGGAGGCATCACTTAAGAGCGCTCTGTGCCCAGTGCAGGTAATTCTGTATGCGTGTGTGGCAGGGCGGTGGGGGTGGGGGCCTACTTGTAGATGGGTACTGCTGACTCTGTTAGAGCAGAAAGAAAGCTCTGTTCTGAGCAAGAGGCAAGGACAGAGCCAAGCTGGGGGCTGGGCATTTTGTGCCGGAATAACCTAAGACAGGGCTGAGGGATAAACTCGGTTGCTTTGGAAAGCAGAAGAGGTGCAGTCCTGTGAGGTTGTTAGGGAGCTAGGGGCTCTAGCATGAGCACACAGGCCAAAAAGAGGCAGAAGAATCAGTGTGCAATGCTTCAAAAGATAGCTTCCATTTAAAGAGCCAGTTCATCCTTCACATAGGGTAAGCATTAAACCAGAAAGCCAAGTGACTGGAAGCCAGAGCTATGGTCATTTCCGAGGGGCACAGCTTAAAACATTAGAACGGCCAACAATGCAAAGGGTCATTTTTGTAGCTTCTCCCCTTTAGCGATGACTGGAGAATGTGTGAGCTCTTACATGGGGTGGACCCACTGGTCGCTGTGTTCAGTTGAAGCAATATGAAATTTGAGTCATCAGGAGATCTTGGCTAAACGATTAGTATTTGAGCCTTTAAATTGAAGTATTTAAGCAGAAGAAGAAACAATACTATGGGACAGCAACGAAGGGGGAAAGTAAAGAAAGAAAGGCAAAAAAGTAAAATGTGATTCATTTTTAAAATTGAAATAAGACAATTTTTACAAGGTACAGGGTGGGGGGTATGCCAGACAGTCGGAGTGACAAAAAGGGCTTTAAAAAGTCAACAAGGATGACTTGAATTCTCCAAGAAACAGGCCTCTTTCTAAAGAGACTTCAGCCGCATATTAGGACCTGCGTGTGGGAAGATAAGAACTACTGGGAAAGAAAGGTTGTATTTCTGGCTTACTGTCCCCATCTCAAAGGCCAAGAACCCACTGCCACCGAGTCCGGTCTGTTCACAGTGACCTCATAGGATAGAGTAGAACCACCCCAGAGGTGTCTAAGACGGTAATCTTTAAGCAAGCAGATTAGCACTTCTTTCTCTTGTGCAGCAGCTGGTTGGTTTAAACTGCCAACCTTTGGTTAACAGCTGAGGGCTTTAACCACTGGGCTCCTTAAACACTCCTTAAACTGGCCTGTGTGTGTGTTGCATGAGTTAGATGAGACATGGCAGAAAAAATAAATAGGAATTCCTCACAGCATAAAAATAAACCAAAGAAATCATAATCCATACATTACACCCTCACACATTAACCCATAAGGGCTGGGTTTCTGTCTGCATCAGGTGATGCTGATACCTGGATCTGCTGGACCATGTTTCGCAGCTGCACCAGAAACTCCTTGGCTTCCTTGGCCCTGTCGGACAGTCCGTTCAGCGCCTGCGAGAGCTGGCTCTGCGAAGAGAAAGAAGGAAGCAAGGCAACTGTAAGTGCACAAAGCAGCAACAAGGTGGGCTTCAGGGAGACAAGATCTGAGGAGCATCAGCCACCTCAGATCCCTCTAGTCTGCACCTGGGCCATTTTGTACATTGGAATGCTGACAACACAATGGCCAGGCTTCTGCCCCAGACTCCCGAGTAGTTTCTTCTCGGAAGCACTGAACACTGCTGGCCTTTACAGAGAAAGTCGCTCAGCAGCCCATTATTTCAGATCTGGAGGAATGGATCCATTCATGAGTAGCCCTTTCTTCTTCCTGCCTTTAGTGCAGATGTGACGTCTGGCGTTCCACTCCCACCTCCTGGCTGTCAAGAACACCAATGGGTTAGGCTGAGTTATCCAGAGAAGCAAACCAGTGACTCTCCTCTACGCCCAAGAGAGAACTTGATATCGAGAAGCAACTTTACCTCAGGAAGGTGCCCCAGCCCAGTTCAACTCAAGTTCATAGGTCCAATGCTAGCCGGGCCCTCTTCAGACTCCCGTAGCTGCAGGCCGGTGACGCACAAAGGGGAAGCAGGGAGAAGGGCGATCCCAGGCCAGCGAGTGCACAGTCACCTGAATTCAAGGTTGGGGGAAGCATGGCCAAGCACTGACCGCTCTTGGGCTCAGGCCAGTCCAGGAGGCAGACACAGAGTCCCGGCAAGGAGGCAGGCAAAGGGGCAGAGAGGAATGGTCTCTGATGGATTTTGCTCTTATACAAAGGCCGCAACTCTAAGAAGGTGTCATCAAGCAACCACATGGTTGACAGTTGAGCTCCACCCCTAGCCAAGAGTGCCTAGTGACAATATCTAACTACCAATATGGTAAGAGTGGAGCGATCCAAAGAGCTGACCAATACCTGAAGTCTCTGGTTCATGGGTTTCTTGTTATGTGGGGAAAAAATGAACTCCCTTTTAAGTTCCAGTTCTGTTTTTGTTACTTGTATCATTACCTTCTTCCCAGATACAGCGTTTCCACTCCTGTAAGCCTGGGAACAACCTCCTATCCCTCATCTATAAATGAAGAGCGACACTCCCTTTTCCACGTGCCTTCTCTGAAGACTAAGCCCAATCTCTTTCCTGCCAACACGATGCCTCGTGTGCCTTGCTCCTTCAGTCAAATGTCAGGATCTTCCCCTGCTTTTATGAAAACATTTTCTCTTATGCATGCCTCATTAGGTCAAAAGCTTTAAGAACATGCATGCCAAAATGCTTGACGGGAGCTGTGTGGTTGGTAGGAAGAACACAAGCGTTGGATTCATCAAGACCAAGGTTCAGTTCCTAATGCTACTAGTTCCTGGCTGTTCCATCTTGCACACGTAGTTTCACCCTGTCCATAACGTGAGCGCACTGCGGGCTGGGGGCGTTGCATGAGATTCTCTATATCAAGTCCTATGAGCTGCGCTGCTGGTGAATGGTGCACACCCAAGGTTGCTGTCATTAGCTTTTATTCATCTCTTTCCTTTCTGAGTACAAACCCTGCTACTAAACCCACTGCCAGAGATTTGCAGGGCAGATCCCTGGAAGGGGATGTATATTGCAGACCAGCCTTGATTGCTCTTTGCTCTGGTTGCTCAGGCTCGGAGACACGAGACGGACACAATCACAATCGTGGAAGAAGTAGCGCAGAGTGAGTCTCTAGCTGCTGACAGGGATGCTCACTTCCTGAGCCCTGTGTCCCAGCTGCACTGTAATTTGGGTAAAACTTTTCTTCTCAAGAATGATTTCAGGAGCTAATAGGTGGAAGGAAGAGATTCTCACTTGGAACAGCAGGCTACAAAGTGAGAGAGCCTGCAGAAAAACACGGTTACTTTAGGGTTCATAGCCACCCTCTTTTTTCCCCCCAAAGCAGTAACAGTTTGCTGGGGCCACCAACGGTTTCTTCCTCTTTCTGTTATAATCCTGAGGATTTGATTCCAGAAGCAAAATTGTTCAGCTTCACGGAACTGAGGTTATGTGTTTTCATGTGTCCCAGCCTTGCAGTTACTTGTGTCTGTGTAAGTCTGAGCCAAGCGGCCACCTGGAGAATTGCTGACTGAGGGCTGCTACACTAGAAAGGTTATTCAATAGTAGACAAAGGGTGCGGCTCTCACTCACTCCCAGGGTTTTACACAGCAAAACAACGTGTAAAATTGTGACTGCAAATGTCCATTTGTTCACAGATTTCCTCACTGTGTGTCTGTTTACTCCCAAGAATGCCTTCTCTTGGCTAATGACCACACTGGCATTAGGAAAAGACCTGCATCTTGTGATGAAGATCTAGAAACCACTCCCTTCGGCTTTGCTTGCTGGTGGAAATGGGGCAGAGGCAATGAGACGTGCTTGAAAGCCACTTATCCTTAGAAAAGGCTGTCCTTGGTCAGGATTTATATGCGCCTCACTTGTAAGAGACAGCCTTTTGATCACGTGTCAAATTACATCTGATGCAGAAGAACACCGTTATTGATTGGCTTTGTTTGCCTGAAGCATTTCTATTCCTGCTCTGGGCTGACAGAGGTGGTTTGTATTCAGGAACTGGGCATCCCCGGACACTTGGACCAGAACAGCGAAGCTGCAGATCCTCAGTGGGCGTTTTCCTTTCTGCATCTCAGGTTGTATACACAGTCAGTAGAGGGCGGGAGGCAGAGGTGCTAAATGGTGTTTGAGAGGCCCAGCACTGACATTCAGATTTCTTGCCTACATATTTTTAATTTACGGAGAACAGCTCCTGACGAGATGAGAGGAAATGGTGTAGCCGCAGAAGCCCAAGCGAGCATGCTCTACATAACCCAACGCTCTCAGAAGCCCAGCAGGTTGTTCAGAATGTCAAGGAGAGACACAAAGACCACTGCTCCCTCCTTCCTTTCCCCTTCAAGCTGCAGTGAACCCCAGCTCTCCCAAGGACCGCATGTCACAGGAGCTCCGGGGCTCAGTCTGGGAGTGGCTATGGAGAAGGGTCCAGAACCGATTACCGAGGTGCGGGGTGAGGTGAGGTGAGGTAAGGGTTAGCAAACAGGTAAGGACTTCTATCTCTCGAAACTCCTAACTTCCTCCAGGCACCCAGGCAGGCTGCTGAGCGCACCCAGAGAGGAGACAACTGCAACTTCCACCCCCCATCCACACCATCCCTCCAGCTAGCTCTTTCCCCTGCATTGAGTAGACTGTTCAATGGAGACCAATTGAGACCAGTAAAGGGAAGCTTCCTGGCGGTCTGGGATCTGAAGACTCAGGTAGTGCACGGGTCAAAGGAGTTGGTAGAAGGCCGGTGAAGAGGGAAGGGGGCAAAAGGGGAACCCATCACAAGGTTGGATATATAGCCCCCCCCACCCCCACCCCGAGGATGAATAACAGCAATGTGGGTGAAGGGAGAAGACGGACAGGGTAAGCCAGGAAATGACAACACTAATATATAATTGGTCAAGCATTCATGAAGGTGGGAGAGTGGGGGAGGGAGGGAGAAAAAGGTGAGCTGATACCAAGGGCTCAAGTGAAAGAAAATGTTTGGGAAATGTCGATGACAACATATACATGAGTGTGCTTAATACAACTGAATGATGGATCATCATACGAGTTTTAAGAGCCCCCTAAGAAAATGATTAATAATAATAATAAAAAATACCGGTGGAGCTGCATGCATCAGTGGCAGGTCTGTGGCCCAGAAGCTGATCTCCCTCCATCCCTCCCTGACATGGGCATGGCCCCTGTGCCTCCATAGTCCTTGCTGGTCAGGTGTTGCTAAGCGGCATAGCCAAGCAAAAGCCTACTTCCCCTTCAGCCCAGGGACCAAGGCAAATGCAAATCACAGGAGGGAAGTGCTACTTGATGCCTGGGAGAACACAGTCTCTTGAAGTGACGCTGAACTTTCATTCTCTCGCTCTCACGGGCAGTGCATTACTGAAAGGTGAGAGCAAGCAATTCTAAAAGTTGCACTATATTGGTCATTCCTTCTTAATCAGTAACCCTGATGTGTATCTATCTTATTTAATCCCAAGGATCACCTAGCCATTTGACAGAGGCTCGTCCAGGACCCATAAAAGGCTTTACAGAGCATAATGGGAAGAGTTGGGACATAAACCCTAGCCTGAACGGAAAGCCATGCTCTTGGCCCCATCCCCTCCCCCCAAAGATGGCCTTTCTTTACCCACCCATGCGAGAGGATGCCAAACCAAAGAAGGTGGACTGGTGAGATGAGGGGACTAGTTCAGCACTTTGATTAACATAACAGAGAGCTCATATGCAAACGATTGTCTGAAGAGTTAGTCTATGAAATGTTCAACACTATCTCTCCACCCCTCCCACCCCTGGAATAAAGTGTTCTGGTGAACTTGACAATGATGTAGTGAAGGGAGGGGTCCCAGGCCAGAGGAGCAGAAGCATTACACTGTGTCCAAGGCAGCTGTGTCCAGTCTCACCTGGCTTGAGGTCTCAGGCAGGGGTGGGCTTAGGGTGGAACGAGGTAAATGAATCCAATCAATCCGCTGAAGTTATTAACTACCTGGGGACCCATCCCGCTGAGGCCCACTTCTGCAGCTCGGGTTTCTATGTCTGCTTGCACCTGTCCTTCCTCCGGCCCGGCTCGCTCCTCCGCTTTCTCTGGCATGCGAGACCCCGGCTCTACCACAGCCCCCTGCTCACCGTCCTCAGATGGGTAGGAGGCCACAGACGAGGGGCTAACCTTATCCCTAAGCCCAGCAGAGAACTGCAGTGAACTTCAAACAGAATAGCTGGGCCTGGAGCTCTGTGTGTGTGTGAATACGGGAGTGTGACAGCAAGTGTCTGTGGAGTGTGTATGCAAATATGTATGAGTATGTGCAGGTAAGTATATCTATGAATGTGAGAGTGAAATTGTATGAATGTGAAGGTTTCTGAGTATGTGTGAATATATGTGAGCATGAGGGTGTGTATTTGTGTGTGAGTGTATGCATGTGTATGAATGTGTGGACACATGAGTGTATGTATGCGAGTATGTGTGTGAGTGTATCTGAGTAGATGTTTGCAGGT